CCATTACCTACCGCCTATGGATCCTACTCACTATGGAAGGACATAGAAGGACTTACCACTCACTACTACCTTAAAGCTTTCAACTGATTGAAATTCAGTTCGACAGGGGAGTATGCCAATTTCACTTCCAGCTTGCTGATGTAAAGGTGCCAGCTGGCCAGAGGAGAGTGAAGGGCAGACATAGATTCAAAATAAGCCTACTTGAATTTCCCCTGCCACAGACTATTTTATACTGGGGGCTATCAACTACTGCAACTTCCACTGGATCTCATGCCAAGGGAATATAGGTTAAAGAGCGGCCAGAGTGACTAGGAACGTCTCTCTCTGATAGATCAAGTAGCCATCACGAGAAAAGCGGAGGCCCCACTATCAGAGACACGAGCTCCTCTATACGAAATGGATTTAGTAGCCGGAATCATTCCTAATCGACCGGGAGCGCTAAGGCTTTGCAGTCCGTACCGGTGTCCTTATCGGGTTCAGGTTATCTGAGGAGAATCCCTTCTCTTCATAGAAAGAAGATAGTGAAGGTAGACACACGCTATTGTCTTCTTTGCCTTAATTCTGTTACAGTCCTCTCGGGGACACTAAGACTGCAACTAAAGGCTCGGCCTTTATTCAGATTCTGTAACTTCAGGGTTAAGACTCTCGTTCGTGACCCGCACAAGCAGACGAATTCTTATCGAAGAAAGCTAGGGAGCTTGAGCGGTTAAGGCTCGAACGGTAGAAGTTCAGTTCTAAATCTCAGGTTCAGAAGATGCGGGACTGCTTAGATTATGGCTTACATCGCTAGCCTTGACTAAAGAAGTAAGCACTCGGGAAAGGATAACTCTACGGGTAGGCCTGTTTCAGCCAAAGTCGATCGCTGGGTGAATGCCCCAGTAAGGAAGAGTCAGAGGCTGAGGATGGAAAGGCATGAAGTTCTCTACCTCTCGGGCGAGCGTCTTCAATCCTCTCACTTCGCTCGAGTGACTACACGTACAACGCTTTCAAGCTAGTCACTTCGTACCTCCCCCTAACGGGACAGCATTGTTCATCCTCTTGCACAGTTGGAATGTTGGCGACTGAGCCAGAGCAAGTTTAAGCCTTTCTATGCTCCACTACAGAAAAGATGATAACTTATATCCGTAATTGACTAAAGAGCCCTAATATAGCTATATATATGAGTGACTACGTTCCTCTTCGAGCGACTACACGTACCTCGAGCATGGAGAGGTCTTGTCTTTCCTGGGGTTACCCTGGATGACACACCTCAATGTAACGTTAGACATCATACTTTTGGCCTATCTATCTAAACTAAAGGGCGCCAATGAGTAGTGGAGTACTGTCGGCACGACCGGTATCGCCGCTGTCTTGTTTATCAATAGGACAGTTGTGGTACCTGAGTGCTTGATGGAAAACTCGCCCAGAAATGGGTGGTGGGATCTCCTCCTTTCTATTTACCTTGGCTGGGAACTGAAATCAAAGCCTAAGCCGGTCACCGGGTAGTTTAAGAGAAAGTTTGATCCCTGAAGAAGAAAGAATCGATTCTAAGCACAACAACTGGACACTTTAATTGAAATAGCGTAATAAAAGAGATCAGCATCTTCTTGTCTGTCTCTGCTTTTCTTTTCTATATGTAGAGGTAGGAAGTGACTCGACTGATAAGGAGAGGAAGTGGTTACTCGACCGAATTCATTTTCTTATAGCCTACTAAAGTAAAGGAGAGGTAGGAAGTGAAATAGAGAAGGGAGTTCAACTTAGAGTTGGAGTTCTGAGTTCAGGGACATTTACTAAGAAGGAAGGGACTGAGCTCAAGCCGTTGCTTGTTGGCTTGAAGCGCTAGTCATGAATCCGGGAGTTCAAGGCGTAGGCGCTCTTCTCTTTCGTGAGTTTGGGTGTGAGGCAGGACTCTCCGCTGCAAGTTCCTGTCTGGCGGATGCAGAATTTTTCTTCAATCGATAGGTGGGCTCTCTTCCTCTTGCAAGTGCAGGAGCGGTGTCGGCCCAAGCAGTAAGTAGGTGGAGCTCTTAGTGCTTGGTCCCTTCCTTGGTTGGCTACCTCAGTAGGTGCTTCTTTGGCATGAGCTGTAGCCTAGGCACAAGAAGTAGGAGGATCCGGTGAGTACGGCTGCAGCATTGTTGGAGGTTTGGCCGGACCTTCAAGTCTTTCCAGGAGAGACGAGAAAGAACTGTCCAAAGCAGATAGAGATGGGGCTCTAGATGTCAAAGTCCCTGCCAAAAAGGGGGGCAGTAGTAGTCATTGGAGTCACGGGAATAGGATTAGAACGACTTACGGGGGACCGCTGCCCGTAAAAGTCAGGAAAAACCTGGGACTGGGAAAGGATCTCCTGGCTTCAATAGAAGAGTCTCGGAGAGCCAGAAGAGGAGTGTCAGAGTGAGCTTCCTCATCAGAACCTTCACAAAAAGAAATGTGACTAACATGTGCAAGGGCACCACCACTGAGTCGAGTGCGAGTTATAATGCTCGGTCCGCTGTAAGGATGGGCTGCGGTAAACGTTTTTGGAGTGAGAAACAAAGCAAAAAATGCAGCTTTGACGAATAGATCACACATACCTCTAACGGATTCGCGACGGGCAGGGGGGTCCCCTCGTGTAGTACGGCAGGAAAGTGGAAGATAGCAGAAATGAAGTATGGAAAGAGAAAAAGTCCCCCTAAGGCTAGCGATGCTTTCTTTTGACAAGAGCTTGATAGTCAAAGCTAGTGAAGCCCTGACGTTCAAGATTTGTCAAAATTGGATTCAGCCGGTGTAAGGACTGTTCCCCTCCACTCTTTTGATTTCGTAAAAATTACGCACCGTTTTCTAACCATCCTCCACCCGGATCAAGCTCATCCATCCGTAATAGGATTTTTCTTTTACAAAAAAAGATGGCGCTCGGAAAGAACACTTCCATCTGGCAGATTCTCCTCCTTGGAGTGGATGACGAGTCGGGTATATATGTCCGAAAGGCTTTCCCCCAAAAATGTCGGACTAGGTGGAATGGGTTCATCTGGCATCGTCGGGAGAGAGCCCATGTGGGAGTTTCCTTCTGAAGGCCCTGGATGAGCGTGAACAGAGGAGGATGGGAGCTACAAACTTTGTTGACAAAGGTGTCCTTGACCACTTGAAATAGCGGGTTCATATCTGTGGTGCTTAGAGCCTATGGTTTAAGGAGTAATGGTTCTGGGGCTACGCACCACCAGACAGAGAATCCAATTATCGCACAAAGAGCCAATACGAATCGTATGTCTTTACAATACGAATATACAATAGCATCGGATAGCCTAAAGGTCTTGATCCGCGAGGTTTCCCGATTTATATCGGAAAAGCCAATCCTTCTATCTGGGGAGCGCAGGAGGGGAGTTCTCTCTCTTACCTCTGCAATTTGGAAGGGAAGTTGCCCTCGATTTGCCGAATAAAATAAGCCGACAAAGGAAAAAATGAATATACAGCTGCCATGTCAAATACAAGTTTTTTTCCCCGCCCGTCACATCATATACTTCATCCTCTCCTTCTGCTCTTGGTCTAGTAGCTGGTCCCACATCTCTTTCCCCTCCTCCTCCTGCGATTCCTGTCGCTGCTCTTCCACATCGAGCTCGACTTTTTACTTGCACCCATACCGGTGGCCTCAGCGGATTAGCCATACGAACACTTCCAGGAGCCATATTTTCAATAGTTGGGTTACTGCCCACTACCACTCGTACTGGTACTACCCTGCTCTTTCTTGCACGGGAGGAAACCTTCTTACCTCAGGGGTTTTAGAGGTGAGTTTGTTAAACAGTGGAAACATATTAGTTCTTTTATCAAAAAAGAGAAATTCAAATGTTATATAGATAATAGATACGGGAGAAGATTAAACCTCTCTTGGCGTGATTTGAATTAGACCATCTCTATCTAGGAAAAGAGTCCCGCCTTCGATGCTTAATAAGTACCGAATCAAAGTCTAATCCTAACTAAATTCTATACATCATAAAGACGAAAAAGACCCTTTGCCACTTCCTTTTTTCCTAGCTTAAAAGGCGTCCCTTTCTATTATTTGGATATGCCCTTCCTTATTTACGCAAATAAAGCCGCCGAAGAATGGGAATGCTAGACTCTACCAAGTAAAGCAACTCCAACTGTCACTGCAACTGGCTCGCAAACTATTCCTGCTTAGGGCTACAACCACAACCTATGCTATGGAAACTCCCAATGTCAGGTCCAACTTCGACTGTGGAGGATTACCCTATCACTGAAACTGAAACAGGCTTTCTATAGGAACTTTCCTAAGGAGGGAGGAGAACTTTCTAAATTTCTGTAACTGGATTGCGTAAGGAACTTGAATGCGAAAATATCCTAGGGCTTTAGGATTATACAGGGAAGAGCACTCCCTAAAAAGATTACACAAGGGAGGATTAGTGCTTTTACTACCTGTGTAAGCCAGAACCAGAAAGAATCCCAAGCACTTCCACTCCAACTCAAGCACCTGATAAGAAAGAAGGACGAATACTGGCCTCTTAAGAGGTCAAGATAGGGGCTTCATTCTTTTTGGACTTATTCTTTAGACATAGAAAGCATAAGACTAAAAGAACTTGAACATTGACAATAGAAAGTTGACTAAGACCATTCCTCTTCAGCTGAGTAGCCTATCGGATCCCCTTTCGCTTCTGACTCCTATAGAGATTCGGCAACATTCACAAAATCCCCTAAACCAGAATGTCCATCTTTAGGGAAAGAGAAGTCTCATGATCCCCTAAACCAGAATGTCCATCTTTAGGGAAAGAGAAGTCTCATGATTCCCCATCTCATCTACTATTACTATTACTATTTGGAATCATGGTCTTATCTATCCCGCGCACGCCTTCCCCTGAAAAAAGAGTTTTCTCACCATCGGTGGCCTGTCTCTCTCTACAATGAGCCTAAAACTCTTCTACAATGGAGTATTACGGGACGCGCTACCCCAGCTCATCCCCGTTAGAGAGAGGGGATTCAATCCCAAATCTGGTAAGGCCAAGGGCGGCGTAGAAGTATTGGATGCTGGGGTCCTATACCGCGATGGTAACTAAATCTTTTGGGGCCATCTTCCGACGGAGAAGCCTAACAAGCTCTCCATGGAGATATGGGTTCAATGGTACTCCCGAACCTAGGAGGTACTCGAGCGGTAGCCGCCTCTTATCCCACATAAGCTTAAGCCTCCTCCATTTCGAGGACTTAATATTATTGAGATTGGAGAGAGTCCGGTAGCCTCCACCACCAATACGCACGAAAGTACTGAACCGTTTAAGGTCGTACTTCTCATGTATAGCCATAAGGCCGTATGGATGGTGGAAGCCAAGCAACGACTTCATGGATACGGGGGAAAGATCGATTTGCATCCCCTTCACCAAGAAGCGTTTGGCGAACTCAACACTACCCATGGAAGAGATTAAGGACTTGTGCTCGGAGACACCAAGTCTTTTCAAACTAGCACGGTAGTGCTCGGCCACAGCTGGATCGGTGCTGAGAACATCATCACCCAATACAGCATAGCGGTCAAACCGGATACCAGGTTTAACCTGCTCCGCACACCACCACACCAACAAATGGTGTGTGAATGCGAACAAAGGCCAAGAGCCATAATACCCAAGTGGCTGACCAGTCGTGAAACACACCTGAGAGGGCCTCCTTCGTACAAAAGGCACCTCAAAGATTTTGTGCCGAGTGCCGAATTAACAACACTCGACGCAAACGACCGGTCAAACAACATGGCAACTGTTTCAAACATGAAGACCAATGGCCACCTATCAGTGGCCGACTTAAGGTCAAAGCTGAAACAGTCGAAACTAGGAACTAGACGAAACAGCGGTTTTGTTTGGTTAAACGTACCATCCATTGGCAGGCGGCGTAAAACCTCCGCAAACCCTTGGTGGACAGGCCAATCGCTGATTCATGTAGTTTCAAATAGCTAATATCCGGCGCTTGCCAGTGGCATTAGTAATGAGACTACCGCCTGTGTCTATCTCGACAGGTAGGGTGAACGGATCCTTTAATTGACCTCGGGAACATGAAGGGAGTAGGGCGTATGTCGAAATGGACGGAACTCGTTCTGTACGGGAAGAAAAAATAGCTATGAAAAAACCCATGCATTTATTTGATGATAACTCGAAGACGCTTTCAAGTGAGTGAACCTCTAAGGTAGTTCAGTGATCCTCGGGAAGGAAACTAGTTCAATGAACCTATAAGGCAAGGGATCAGGCAAACGGAAAAGCTATGGGTTGAAGGCCGGTGTTAGCAGCTTGGTTGGGCAAGTAGGGGCTACGGTTCAGTATGAGTCTGCTCATGGCCAGGTTCTTCGTACAGAGTAAGTAGTTTCAGCTGTGCAGCCCGTACTTTTTGCCATAGAAGATGGAGGAAGGAAAAAGAGGTTCTTTGAGGGGTAGTTCACGAAGGGACATCCAAATAAGGGCTTCCCCCGAGGCTATAAAAAATCTTTCTATTAACCGGTCAAAGGAAGTGACGTGAAGTGAAGGAATTCTCCTCACCGACTCAGTTTCTCATCGTTAGAGGGGCTACTTTCTATTAGGGCAAGTCGTTCTATGAAATAAATGCTTTAGATAGGCAAGGAGCGGTAACTAGAGTTCCAACTAGGCCAGCACCGGTTGAAGAAAAGTCATCGAAGTCGGCTGTTTACATCCATTCTCCTGAAAGAGGCGGGACGAAGAGGGGATAAGCCGCTTTCAAGCTCAAGGGAAACAGCGGATGGTACTTACTTTCAATCCCCTCGGTTCTGCTCTATTATTCTATCGGTTCAACTCCGACATTAGTAGACGCTTTCATCCTCACTGAGGTAGCTAGCCTTCCTTCTGAGCTTAAATAAAAAAAATACTAATAAGGAGTTGAAGCATAAGACCTAACGGCCGGCGATTAAACTGAACCCTGGGACCGGACTTGACTGGACTGACCGCGGATAGCGATGTAACCGTCTTCCCTATTCAACCAACCGCTCTCTTTCGAGGCAGTTAACTGACTGACTGCCTTTATTGCTTCTAACAAGTAAAAACTGCGAAAGGATAGTCTCTCAAGTACGAATACTGTAGCGCTTCACGAAGAGTTTTTTATGAGGTAAATATAACGATTTCTGTGTTTTAAATTTCTTTCCTGGTTAATGATTATGGGGTTCGTCATTTATTGACGGATTTGGGGGATTTCTCTTTCTTAGAATTGGAAGAAAAAGATTGAAATGACTGTTCAAAAGAAGCGGCTATTGGCGTTTTATCTGCATCTTCCCGACCAAGACCCGGAAAGTATACAAAAGTCTACATCGGTGTAAAAGAGCGAGTCCGATCTTTGACAATATCAAATTCTCGAAGGTCCAAGACGATAAGACAAGGGCAAAATCAATCGTCTGATCGGCTTCAGCCTGAGATACCATATTCGCAGAGAGCGCCCTGAAAAGCGGAGGGGGCAGCTAACATACCAAAAGGTCGGACAGAAAGAGTCCATTCATGAGTGAGGTACGTACTTACTAACCCACAGGTTAGGTCGCTCTAAGTAAGAAGCGAGAGGCTAGCAGACTTAAAAGGAAGTTAAGTGGGAACTCTGACTATCACAGAGAATCAGTCTCGAATCGATCGGGAAATGATATGATAGGGAATATAAAGTGTTCACTGATTCTATTTGTCGTATCATATCCATACTCGCTTCGCTCATGTCAGAAAGATGAATGACATAACTCCTTGTCTTTGGAAACTCGCTCACCAGAGGGCTACTTCTTTCAAATAGCCTTTCCAATAATTTGAAGAGTTCAAAATTTGCACACTATTTTGATCGGTATTCCACTAAAGGCTGTTAGGTCGGAGCAAGACAAAGCTAACACCGCTTTCTTAAACTGGAAACCTGATCTAGACACAGTCGGGGTCAATTGAGTCAGCAAACCCAATGTGCGTACAAGCATCTTTTTCCTTTTATTCATTTCACCAGTGAAAAAAAATAACGTAATCTAACGGTTGTGTTCCCGACGCTAACCTGGCCAAAAGACCCACCATTATGGTAACTCCGCCGTGTGTTTTTTGGATCAAATCCGGTGACAATTCTCCACTCATGTCCTTCCAGAACTGGGTAAGTGATCTTCAAGGGCATCCCCCCGATCAATTCCTCCCAGCGCTCCTCAATCAGATCTCTTGCTTGTGCAGGAGTAACTAGAGAACTTTAAATTAAAATGCAGTTTCCAACTAAGAACCGCATGAAGTCCATGCGAGCCGGTCCCGTGATTAGTAACTGATTCCTTCGTCGAGGTAAGGCTGTTTGACCTTGGTTGGTCTCCTCTACGGCACGTTCTTTTTTATATAGTAGGGAGAGTCTTTCCCGAGGTATAAAATATAACCACTAACTTCCGGCCGACGGTGTCCACCTTTTAAGAACCGGATATGGAGGTTGTTTATTTTCCATGGTACTCCGGTCCAGGCCTTCATCCCTCATATCTTCCTCCTGGTGAAATCTGATAACGAAGTAACCATGGCTCAGGTCCACGAGTGCCACATTCCCTTTCGCTCGCCACAGGCTCCTTAGCCGCTCCTCCACATACTCCAACATAGGCAAAAGCCCCAGTAATTTCCTAATAAGGCCGCGTCTCCACGATTTCCTTGTGCTAAAACTTCCTGGGTTGGGGTAATTTTATATTACCTTATCCTTTTCCATGACTTAATCCTGCATCCAGGAGCACTCACGGGGGTCATATTCCTTATATTCATTGTTCAAATCCTCATCCTGTAAATGGAAAAGCTATTGCTCATCCATCAATAGCGTCAGCGAAGTGCTTCTCTTCTCGACTTTGATCCCTCCATCCATGAGATCCGGGAAAAACTAATCAATGAAATTCGATGCAGTTGAAAATATCCTAGATAAAGGTAAGGTGGAGGTGAGAACGTCACTTCCTTTCGTTGCTTGACGGCTTGTTGAATACAGGATAGATAGAATCCCGGGGGAAGAACTCATCAGAAAGGCTTTTCCCGCTCTAGTTGCTGTAGCTCCGTCGCCTCTTGGGCTTCAAATCCAACATCTCTTGCCTTTGATTGTGCGTTGGTGGGAAATCTATCAAGAGAATTTTCTCACTAATCCAGGGGGCTAGGCTAGACACTTCTATATTATGAATATTAGTATGTCTCGGGTGCCTTTCCCAAAGTCAGTGAATGTCTGTGATTATACGAGGATTTTCCTAGCTATGCTGTTCCCCCTTCCCGTGGGACTGACTAATCCAATTTGAATTTTCTTCAACTGAAACTGAAAAGGCTCGGAACTTAGATGATTCATCTTAGTATGCCGGGTATGTCTTTGCCCAAGGTTCCGCTCTGTTACCTCGTTAACTCGATAAAGCCAGCTCGGGAAAGCGGTTTTTCTACTACTTGGCATTAAGAGAAGCTGGGTAGCTCCGTAATCTGTCAATGAGGTGGCTTTCGCCTAGAAGGACAGTGGGAGTGAAGGGCGAGTAAAGTAGATTTGTCTTCTATCCTATACTTACTCGGAAAGTAAGCCTGACCCCTAGCTTTCTTCAGTGAAGTCTTTTTAGATTACTTATGTGATTGCTGACCTCAGCTCAGACATGATCGAATGTTCTATTCTTTCTTAACTGGAAGACAAGACAGGTTGGAAACAAGACCTATAGCCGCTGCTTCCATAAAAAAAGCTCATCTGATGACGTATAAAAGATGGGGACTACGTACCATCTATCGTATAAGTGAAAGAACCTATTTGAAGTGAAGCGGGTATAGGAATTTAGAAGGTACGTATAGTTACTCGAGCAAGGCGAGAGGTACAAAGTGACTCGTACGAAGTATATCATATAGCGTGTATGATGAGTGAAGACATTCTCTACTGCATCTATTATATATTATAGACAGGTGCGAAGTGCAGAAAGAAAAGAGTATAAGCTAGCATCACATACACTATTTATTGACTAGAAAAGAGAAGCGTAGCAGCATCGCTTATCTAAGGTATTTTACCCGTGAAGCCTCTCCACTAAGCTCGGAAAACGGAATGGCTATCGAAGAAGAGCAAGAAAGAAAGTATATACGCGTTCTCCCGGCTGCCGTAGATCAAGTGATTATGACTTTTAAAAGAAAAAGAACGTTTAACGAAGAATGTGGATTGCCCGCTGACGAATGATTGATCGTGTTGCCATAAGCATCGAAATCTAAGGGATAGTAAACGAGGGAGGGGTAGGATAGGTAATCTGCTGAGATGGACTTCAGGCTTTTTACGATAGTACGAGATGCGCCCGAACTCGAGAACCTTCGCTGAGCTAGGCAAGGCTTGGTCGTAACTTCAGTGTGACTCGTGAGGGCTACGAATAGCTTGGTCTGCTGCCGGGGGAAAGATAAACCTCGAATCCTGCCTCTGAACGCTATTTGTTCTCGAATCGGAAGGGGTCTTAGGGGGCAACCATGCACTGGAGGTAAGAATCACGCTTACGAACGTCGGGATTTCGCTCCCTATGGCTACTGGTGCTTCTGCCAGTATCGAGACTATAAGACTCCTTGCGCTTAGCACACCGCAGGTGCTTTGATAGAGATTTCGGGTTGTAGGGCACAAGGGGATCTTGAATCAATTCCCTCTTTTCCAGTAGCTAGTTTAGGCAAGCGGTTCGAGTCAAGTGCCAGTTAAAGAACCAATTGTTGGCAAGAGTCAAAAATAAGAAGTAAACGACTTGATCTCTTCTGGAAAGTTACTTTGATTCTCGCAGTAGTTGTTCTGTAAGGGCTTTCATTAGCCTGAAAGATTCTGGTCGTGGACTGGCGCGATCATGATGAAATGGGCCTTTTGAAAGGAAGACCTTTTCGGATTTGTTTTAGCTTACGGCTGATATTTCCTCATATAGTTCAACTAAGAGATCTGGCGGAGGGAAGTCGAAATCAACCTTCGAGGTGTCGGCATCTTTCCCTAAAGAAATTCGAGCAAAAGCAAGGGAAGGGCGGGCCTGGTGAAGTAAGTAAGCAGTGAGATGAACCAAAGCCCAAGCTTGGAAATACAAAGAAAGATAGAATGCAAGCAAGAAAGAACTAACGGATGAATGGGGGAAGTTCGCTAACTAAACCGAAAGAAGAAGCTGTGGGACTACTTCACGCAGTAAGTCCGGCAAGTCAAGAAGGAGCTCTAGTCGGTTCTTCGGAGTAGGTAATGCCACTAGGTCAGGTTAGCTTGAAGCAAGGGTCAGGTATAGTATAGTAGGGTGCAGTTCCCTTGAAGCGGGGATATCGTAAGGAATTGATGTAGCAGTTAAAGAATTCCCCTTGGCGGAAACCTGCCTTCAAACAAAGGCGGAGGTTGAGTCAAGGGTGGTAGTAAAGGAAAAGTAAGCATCTTACCCAGTCGTAGAAGCGCTGGTCCTCGGCAAGAAAAGAATTTGGCTGTGTGTACGGGTATTTATTCCTCTAGGGGCTGGGAATGGCAAGCTCAGGAAAGTCAGAAAGCCTAGGTGCCACACCAAGGCAGACAGAGAGGCAAGAGCAGGAAAGAGAGGATCAGATGAGCGACTCGAAAGATCAGATGGATAGACTAACCGGCTTATGAAGAAGGATTTACCTAGCTCAGGAAAAGAAATCGGACAGCGAGCGCTAAGCTGGTTAAGTAAGGATAAGGACTTTGCCGGGCCTCTCTTCTAGTGTAGCTAGCCGCCCTTCCTCCAAGACTTGAATCAGGAATATCATTTCTGTACTATTTTGCCAACTAAGGCACTTTCTTTTCCTCATTAGGTTGATTGCCCAGAGGACATTTATATCTTTCATTTTGATTTCATTCTTGTCACAGGCTCCACAATCTGTGATGGAAAAGCCATTCAACAAAAGAGCTAAGTGCCTCGGGTTTAAGAGTCGAAAAAAGAAGCTCATCCAAAGTCAAAGTTTTGGTAAATTTCTTTCCAAACAAAACCTGCCCATACTTCTTTTCATACAATACACATGTGACTCAATAATAGGGCTCGAGCTCGCCTATGATCCTAAAGCAAGTGTACCAGGGAGGAAGGAGAGATGATGCCTAACCTAAGCACCGAAAAAGCTATGAATGCATGGGAAAGGAAAGCAACTGAAAAAGTGGATCAACTCAAAAAATCAAATTTCTTCTTTATTTTCTTACTCCGAGGGAGAGTCGACCCAACTCTACTCTATCTCTTCTAGCCATCCCTAGAGAGCAAGTCCTAAGCTTTGAACATCCAACTCTTTTGGAGTCCTACAAGAAAAAGTAAAAAGTGAACACTTTCTAGTTAAGTTTGGGTAGTTCTTTCACAGCTTGTTTGCATTCGATGCCATTGATTCGAGCACAATAACCTTGATCTGCAGGAACCGATTGGATGTTATTTTATTTATATAAATATGAAAAAGAAAATCCTTTTTCTCGTTCCATCAACTTAACTTTAACTTGCCTTAAAACTCTTTGAAAGTAAGAAAGAAAGTGTATCATGAAACTGCCTTGTCCTATGCTCTCATAAATCTTATTTTGACTCAATTGCAGCTCTTTGCCATATGGGGAAAATGACAGAATGCCTGTTTTGGAACTGCCATAGGCAAGGTCCAAGTCAATTTACATGAGTTTGTATGGTCATACATCGATCATAGAAGCCTTCGGCATGTTCTGTTGTTCCTTTGATCAGTCATTGCCATCCATAATAAGATGAATCCACTCGCCTCAATGATATAGTGTGGAATACCAGGTCTTTCTGGTATGAAGACCAGGGAATACCCTGATTTGAGATTCATTTATCTTCCGGTAGTGCTCGAATAGTTCATGCCACGACCAAAGCCAAGTTTTGTTATATATCCAATGTGGATTGCAAACATAGTGGCTGCTATGAAGAAAGAGAAAGATGGCTGTGTCAAAGTAAGCATCGAGCTGAGCAAAGAAAGCATACCCTAAAGAAGATTTTCAGTTGACAAGATATGATCTCTCTACACTTGATCTGGCTATACAACCAGATCAAGTTTGCAGAAAAAGATCAAAGATGTCGTTTACAATACCTTTTGGAGTATTGGAGAGTAGGGTCGGCAATAAGGTCTTTTATTGCAATTTCTCACGATATGATGCATTACTGGAAATATAAGATATACGTCAACGATATACTACTCTACGGAGGGGCGTTTGTTCCCTCGACAGACAAAGAAAAGAAGCTCAACGAGGCATCTTCCATTCATATTTATTAGTTCCTTCCCCGGCAACTCTTAATATCATAAGTGAGTAAGAAAATGATTGTTTCACAGCCTAACTTTATTGGAAAAAAGTATCTTCTCTTAGTAGCAATTGTTTTCAACCCTTTCTTTGAACCTTGTCAATGATCGAACTTTTTGTTTTGCCACTCCACCTGGTCCTGCTGCCCATAGAATGTTACGGAAAATCAACTAAATCCTTTTTGTTTTGTAGTCTTTGAAGAGCGTATGAAGGGTTGTTGGATTTGTCTGTAAATGAGTTTTCCACCTTTCATACTCGGATACAGAGTCTTCTATTTCCAAAGATTGAATTATATCTCTAACGCACACACGAGCAAGTTGTATTCTTTCTTCTGATGTATTAATTTGCCATGATTTCAGATCGCGGTCGAAAAAATGAAGAAACTGACGCAAAACCAGCAAATTGAATTCGTCTTTTTTTTGTTGTAATTCTTCTGGAGAAGGAGGAATTAAATTATCCCCCGTCTCGGAGGCCGAGCCCGTCTGTGTGGAATTGGTTGGCGTCGGCTGGTTCACGCTGGACGCCGAACCTTCTCCCTGCCCTAGGATGGAGGTCCAGCCCGAGTTGGCCTCAGAAGGAGCCCCATTCCCCGAAACCATACTAAAGATCACACCTCCTTCGTTCGAAACCACTAGACCAAAAAGAAAAATAGACCAAAGATACATTGTATAACCACGAAGATAACCATGATACAGGGCGATTAGAAAAAAGGGGCATGTATGGATAACCAAGAAAAGTCCTTTTCCATATTTTTTTGTTAATGACACACGAAAAAGACCAAGGAGAATGCTACTTAAAAACAAGACGATCCCACAACAAAGTACGAGATTTCCCCCCGCGGTCATTATAGCGCTTCCTTTTGATCCTAGAAAACGTCCGAAAAAACCTCCTCCTACTAAAGCTATGAGTTTACTAAAAGACATGACAGACGCTGTTCAAAAAGAGCTCTGCTCCCCAGAAGGAAAGACTTGTTTGAATTTTCCGGTTGGGTTGGTCCAACTAAGAAAGGCATGGGAGTCGAAAGGCATCGCTTGGGTCGAGTTAAGTAAAGAACCACTGACACAAGGATTTTCAGTCCTTTGGTATGGGCTGGAAAAATTTCCAGAGATACGGAATGAAATCAAAAAGAAAGAAGAGAAATTGGGCTATGTTTCCCGAGAGAGGCCGCCTTCTCTCAGGCCAGCAGTCTTCTACTTTTAGTCGACTGCTCTATGACGGGCTTCCCTCTATCCTGGGCCCTGCTCGCTCGTCTACGCTCCGACCCAGAAAGTAATAATTGAAAAACGATGTTTCCTTTCCTTTCAGTCGAGCACTTCATACCTTGCCTGCATTAAGATTTAAAACTTGTCGTCAAAAAAGGTAGTTTACTTGCTTACTTGTTAGAGTAAGGTCAGAATCAAGAAAAAAAAATGGAAATAGTGAATCAAGATCTAGATGGATCCCTATCTTTATCTCTATCCACGGAGATACCTATCTATATGGATAGAAATCGATCTAGACTATCCTCTATCCGGATAGATATGTCCCTATGAGCGACTACGCCGATCTTTATATGTTTTGGCCACGTCCGTTTCCGCTCCGAAGAGGAAGGTTTGGATCTTTCAATCTTATGTCGTGAGGGATGTGACCTATGTTAGGTCCATAAAATACCACAGCTTTTGGTGTTCTATGATTCACCTCCGAATAATGAGTAGGTAGTTCAATCCTTTTGATTCTTCTTCTCTTCCTAGTAAACTTTTGGGGGGATGCGGAGCAATAGGTCGAATTACTATATAAATAAGAGTTGTAAACTATAGGACGAGTAGGAAGATTTCGGTTTTTCTCGTTTCTTCTCTTCAATAAGAATAGGGATTTGAAATGATACAAATTCCTCTTCATTCTGTTGTGCTCAGCGAAGGAACTGCCTAAGCATACTTTTTTGGATCCAAACTTCTTTGTTCTTTTTAAGTATTCTTTTTGCATAGAAGAACGCAACCGTTGTTGCAAAAACCTGGATTTTAGTAGTAGGCGGCATCCCCTCTTAGTTTTGAGTAGGTGGAACCATTCTGTTTTGGTTCTTCTCCACATTCTTACCGGCAGGAATTTTCCTATGATTTTTTCAACTGATATTTCGATATAGAAAGATCTCCTTATTTCTTCACCGCGGATTCTCGCGTCATTTTCTTGAAAAGATATTAGATCACCGTGGGAAACTTTCAAATGAGTAATGCTTACCATTCTATTATTCACACAAACCCTTCGATGACTTATCGGCTGCCTTGCTTGAGGAATAGTTTCACGAAAATGGAGACGAACCGGAATAACGTCCGATCTTGTTTCTGGATTGAGTAGAAAAGGGATATATGAAGTTCGTTCTGTTCCTCTGTGCATCTCTGTGATGGGTAAATCCCCATGAAAAAGGGGCAACTTTCGTGTAGTTTGTGATTGGATGTAACTGTTAAGATTTTCTCTCGGATAAATCTTTCTCTTAATAGATCTCTTCTTGTTCCTCAATCTTCGGAGAATGCGGCGTTGTATTTTTGTAAGTTCTCTGTTCCGAACATTTCCTGAAAGTAGACGACAAGTTTTAAATCGCATGACCTCTCTCGTTGAATCAGTCTTTTTTGCCACATCGCGTATAACGGGAATCGAACCCCCTCTGCTGCTGGCGGGCGGATGGAGAATGTTCTACTTCGATCCAGCAACTTGTTAGGAGTAGGTTTTGGCTTGCCCCTTTCTCTAATAATAAGGCTCGTAAGACCTCACTGCCGAGCGCCTTCAGCTGGTGCGCAGGAGCGCACTTCCGTTTTCCCCTTACTATACAAGGGGGTGTAATGAATAGAGATCTCCCACCAGCAGTCTTCTCTTCCTATCACTTCACTTCGTTCGAGAGATCTGATCTCATCGGACCTCACCAGGCCGGGCGAAGGGGAAGGAAGGGATGGGCGGTCCGGGAACAGCAAGGGGAGAGGGCTCGTAGCCCCCCCTCTCCCTCTTCCCCACGCCTATTTGTTCCCCCGGAGAGATGCGGAACTCTTTTTTTTTAATAAAAAGATGAATAGATAGGGCCATGATACATTCCGGAATATTGTAAGGGTAAATAGAGTCTTTTCGTCCCCTTTCTTTTCGATGCCTGCCTGAGGACCTATGTGAATGTTTTGGAATGGGGATGTTCGCCTTTTGTAACAAGTAGACCCACGATACGGACTAATAGATGTTCCTACTCTTATCCGAAAGTAAGATCTATTCCATTTTGGTCAGTCCCCCACGGCACGGCTTCCCGCTTTTCATGAATGTGTCTCCCCCTCTGCTTATGTGAGTTTGACCCGCCTTTGACTCTGCTTGCTTCTGACTCCCTATGAGCCGTTTTACGACCTTACTTTTTCGGAGGGTCGGCGGGACATGGGAGCCTCAGCTCATGCATCGGTTTACCAAAATCACCTCCGCTATCCCACTTCCTTCTATTCAAAAAGGCGAGCAGCCCTTAAACAAAAAGGCCAAATGAGGGCTCTTCTTTATATATTACATAAGCCCTAAAGTAGGTAGCCCCGAAAGCCGTAAATGCGAGGTTCTGATAAAGTCAGAGTGAATTGAATTCAGGTATTAGAGAGGGAATTCTTCTTTTTCTCTAAGGCAAAGCTAAAGTCCACCCAACATTCATTCTCATCAAAGATGGGTGCCCTTTTAGTATTGATTTGGATTCCAAGATTAACACGTGATTCCATTTTGGTGATGTTCAGTTTGGCCCAATCTATTCTGAAATTAGATGTCACAGTGGTTCGCATAGTTCTATTAATATTATTGTATTTGGAGTCAAACCATTCCTTATCTACCAATGCCTTCGCTAGACCCTTGTGCTTGATAATCATCTTGCCATCTCGGGGGTTAATATAATAACTCTTTGGCGCTAAAAAGATTCCCTCAATAACATAGCATTCTAACTTAAATTTACCTAATTCAGTTGATGAGACTTCGTCTTCTGGTAGAGGACTACCAAGAACGACAGAGTCAGTATCAGTGTAGTAAGAGTCAGGTCTGGAAATGTATGGATGCATATGGATCCTAGCACATGCTGTGATAGCAGCCGCCAATTGAACCGCTGATATCCTTGGAGGGCACCACTCAGAGTCGGGGACCTCTCTGGTATCGCTCCTGTAAGAGACGACATAGTAGCGCTCGCTAAGCATCTCCGCATGGATGAAATTAGTACAACTTTTCATCAATTGGTTATATCGTTCATAATCGCAGACCTCAGCGACAGTGCAGTTTGGGTTTATACCTAATCTACCGTATAGGGAGTTCATGAGTAACTTATAAACATAAGCCATAGCATCATTACCAGCTCTCTTAGCAGATAGTCTTTTATCATAAACTGTTGATACAAAGCTAACAAATGGACTATCCATTTTTTGAAAGCTGTAGCCCGAGAGAAGAGTGACCCGGTAGCCTAAGTCGCGCGCATACTTCAATTCTTCGCTAAAGTATACACCCACGAATTCGCCGGTAGGGAATACAAGAGTTTTACTACTCGCATCTCTATAGGGTAAGAACGGTCTTTTTATTGTTGGTGGGCAGACAATATGCGCTTCAAAATATCCATACAAGCTGTCTATATCCCGACCTTCTAATTTACTATGCCAGACAGGCTTACCTCCGGGCATAGGATAACTTTTCATTATAAATGGATACAAGGAGTTCACGTCGTAATAGTATAGATTTTCACCTTTCGGGATATAGGTATCGGCATGCCCACCATAGTAAGCACGCCGAATGAAAGTGTCCTCATTCTGATTTGGGATATGAATAGGAAAAGTATTGGGATCGTAAAAGTTAGTACGATAAATCGTGAGAGCTAGCGAAGATACGGTCAATTTGTTCACGATATCTACCTTGTACTCATCGTAATAAATTGATTGAGCTTTTTGCATTACACCGCCTAACAAACGAATATCCTGCTTCATGTAAGATATCAATTGATCTCTGAGTAGGCTCAGATTCGACACTTGCACATTATCATGCGGGATAGAGCCTTTATTTCCTAAGTGAGGACAGAGATTTCTTGCTAAGGTATCAAGACTACCCGGCAGCAGTGTTAAGGAATCCCTTAGACGGAATAGCAGCTTCTTATTTTGACTTTCTCTCCTTTTTTCTCCCCCAAAAAATAGGGAGACTTTCTAACTTTCTATATATATGTGGTTGGTTGTTGACAAAAAAAGACATGGGAAAAGGAAAGCACTTAGACGAGTAAGGTTTTTATCACTTACTTGCTAGAGTAAGGAAGGAATTAGTAAGAATGAAGGTGAACCTGTCTTATTTACGCTATTTCCTTCCTGTCTTTCTCTCTAAAGTAGTTTACAGTCAGAGCGAATTCAGGTATGAGAGAGGTCTAACTCCCCGAACCCCCCGGAGGGGAGAAGAAAGAATATAGAATTTGACTCTTCCCGGAGAAACAACTCTTGCCTCTTCCTGTAAGGCGCTTCACCATCGGCCACTAAGGGGCGGGAAATAGGTTCTAGGGGGCCTATCTATCCAAATTCTGGTTCTAGCTTTTCTGTTAAGAATGTCGCATCTTCGTCTAGACGCTGATTAAAATCTTCTATTAAGCGCTCAACATAAGACCAATCCGGTCTACAGCGTTCGACGAGCATCCAACGAACCATACCAAGTTGGTAACAATGAACCTTACGGAAAACCTAACCAAACCTGAATGGGTGGTGGACAGATGCCACTGGGTGAGTACGCGACAAAAATATGACGAAACTAATTAGGATTGATGTCTGTCGGCTTAGAAGAATACCCTCTATAACCGGCGCCCCTCAATCACATAGAAATACGAATCGAATAGCAACCAATCTGCTTCATAACCGGCATTAGAGCTACTGAAAATCTAGCCGACCTTATCATTTTAACAGATATAGGTGACAGGTCAACACCTGGTCCCCTGAACATCTTTGCAAATTCATAGAAACCAGTGTCTGATATCAAAGACTTCGGTTTAGAAATCTTGACACCAAGATAAGGAATAAGACAATATTTCTATGAGGTCCTTTTGATATAAAAATTTCTACAATCTACAGAGAGGGAATAGGACCTCCCCTGGATTTCGATTTCCTTCTTACTGTAGTTCTTGGAATCTTTTCTTCCATTCTTCTAAGCATTCAGTCTCTCCCATTGTTGTAAGTGAGTCTTATAGCGAGTTCATGTGTATGCGGGCTCATTGCCTAGTGTCTTAGTAAGCCGTACGCTTCTTTTCTTTATTGCTCCAGTGAGCGAGTACTTTTTCTCTTTCTAAGCCGTCGAAGTCTTCCCGTAGCCCCTATGCTCATATCCCCTAGCCCTTAGTCCCTTGTTTCGGTGTAAGGTTTCTCTCTTTTTCTGTCTATCTTTCTTTTTAGTTTGTCTTCCTATTCTTTCTATTCTAAGTGGGCAGAAGCCTTCCCAGTTGAGTTCTTAAGAGAAGGACCAAGCAACTGAAACCCTTTTTTTGACTGAACCATCGTCAAACCTCCACCAACATTGGATGATAGAGGGACGTTCTACCAGCTAAATAGATCAACTTGGCTTTCCAACCTGCAAGTCTTTGCTGCACTTTCTTCATTATGTAGTTAGTTTTCTTTCTTGACACTCTTTTGTGAATCAAAAGCACTCCTAAAGTACTTACCAAGATCATTGGTATGACAAATATTGGTAATTGCTTTTATTGAACTAATAGTACGAATCCGAGTCTTAGGACTCAGAAAGAACTTGGACTTAGAAAGTTTTTAATGGTACTACCGGTCTGCTTTGCTGTAAAAGCCGGGATTTATGGCACTGCTGCCACCAAGAATGCGTCCTCTGGCCTTCCAATGATTGAATAAAAAGAGATAGAGGGAGACAATGAAATTTGACAGTTTGTGTAGACCTATGTCCGTCAAAGCGCTATTTGAGCCAACTATATGGAAGAATATATCCGATACACCTTTTGTAGCTCTTTCTATCTAACATACTCCCTTTCTCACGAAGCAAAACAGATTCTTTGGTGGCAGTGGCACGTGCTTCGAAAGCTGGGCTTGGAGCTATTCCCATCTATTTACGCGTAGTGGGACTGCGACAAAATCTTCAAGATCGCCTTGCCTTCAAACCCAGCCTTCTCGAAGGAAAGTAAGAGAATGCGCTCTTAGTTCTTGGGCACTTTCATAAGCCAATAAGATAGAATCGTCTGTCTGAGTTCGAGAATCGGATGTGAGGGATGGTACCCTATATGAAAGAGAGAGCTACGCGATGTCGGCTAAAGAAGACGGAAAAGTCTTGTTGAAAGGAAGACATTGAAAGCTACAAGCCCCTTATACCACACAAGGGGACACTACCAGACTGAGTCAACAACTAGTTCAAAGCCGGAGGGAAAAGAACAATAGAGATGAAACCTCCTACCAATCTATTTCCAAGCCGATGCTTTGGGTTACTTGCCCTGCTTTCGGGGTGGTCAACAGCCCTACTTGTTCCCCTGCTTTTGGTTGCCAACTAGCTCCTACCACCCCTTCCACCTCTACTATTATTCGCACGCATGCACCTGTACTCTTTATAGCATTCACTTCTCTTATGATCCGCTTAACATCCTAGATACCAATACGACACTTCTCGGCATAATAACTTGATAGGCGCTCCTTCTTTCAGTAGCTCAAGGGCTTGCCCACAGGCATCTTACCACCTACCTTCGATATTTGTATTTGAGCTCCTGGTTGGCATTCCAACTGGAATTTCCTTGTCTTGGTCCAGTAGTGGTCCTTCTTTTCACCTACCTGTCCGCCTTCTTGTACTGATGTGCTTTTTTTCTTTTAATGACTGGCTTTCGCCTAGAATCATACACCCACTCAGAATTCCGGGTATCCTTCATTCATATGGGATACCCTGCTACTTTCCCTCTCGGACCAGTCCTTCATCCGATCCTAGTTCCTTGCCTTTTTCGCCTCTTCCTACTCCGGATGATGACTTACCGGTTTAGGACTTACCATCTTCGGATCAACCAGTCATATATTCTTTAACCGTCTTCTAAGCCCGAGCGAGATGATCTGATATGGTCTGAAGGTACCCGATCAATTGCACTTGATCTTTCTAGCAGCTTACTGGACAAGATTGTATGGGCAGTACCGGAACGTGCCGCCTCTTGAGCTTGGTTCCGAGTTCAGATTTTGATTCATTCTAGCGGAATAAGATAGAATAATAAAAGGGTTTAGTACACGTGGGACTTATGCCTTTTCGGATCAATGAGACAAGGAGTTACTCAGAACTGTAGTTAGGGCCTTGCTTGTTCCTTATTAGATTAGAGTAAAGGCGAGGCGCTCATTCCTTTGCTTCTTTGGCCTATTCTAGCCGTTCAGTAAGAGATTTCGATCCGTTCAGACTGTGTGATAGATTCACCTCTGATCGACTACAGATAGGTTCAGGCTCTTGAATTAGGGATGGTGATCCGCCTCGGGAAAACCTATGTCTACGGCCAACCTAGTTAGTTAGATCCGCATATGCTGAAGGAAGAGTTATGGCATCTCAGTTAGAAAGACGGTAAGCAGGTACAAAGGATGAAGTTCGCTTTTGGCTACGGTCATTAGTTAAGCGGGTGGACAGACAATCAAATCCCGAGCCTCCCCCATTGTCAATGTCTTTAGTTCTTTAATTCATTCTGTAACCGGCTAAACAATTCTCTTGAAAACTCTATTTCTCCCTCTTAAATACCTTTATTTATTCTCATCCGATCCGAGAAGCAGAAGAAGAGGGAATTACCACGAATCATCACATGAAGCTTGACTGTCCGCTTTGAGGCTCATCTACCGCAATGGAGAAAGTCTTCTGCAAGGCTCGATATGTTCATTTTTAGCCCTTCTTTCAAGCTGAAAATCAAGGCTTTTCCAAGCCAAGCCGCGGGTCTATTGAGGACAGCATTTGTGCCTAAGACTTTCACAAGAAGTGATTGTTGCCATGGTTGGTAGATGCGTTTTTCTCTTCCAAGATGATTGATGAACGTTGTCAGTTTCAGCTTCCATGTCATAAGTTGAGAAATCCATGGTAGTTCTCTGGTTGAGGTTTGGGATCAGTTCCCCCTAATATAATAGAAGAGATCACGCCTGCAGGAGAAAAAAAAATGAATTTCATAAGAGAAGAAAGGATAGGAGTCTGTTTTACCGGGTTCTATACTCCATTAGGTTTAGGAATCGATTAGGCTACTTTAGCAATATGCTAAACACATTGAATTCGCAAAGAAAATGGCTGTATAGAATGAGGTCCGCGCCCTAATATGAAGCCTTAAGGCGACATCTCTTATACAACCTAAGACTAGCTGCAACTCTCAAGGGGAAATGTTCAGCAAAAATACGACGAAACTAGGCAAAGAGCTCTTTCTTATCTTAAGTTATCTTAAGATATGTTCTCTCTAGTTACAGTCGCATCAACAGAAAAGAGAAGAGCCAAGCAACGGAACAGTTACGAATCCGCTGCTGATCTATATCTTATCATAAAATTACAGAACAGCTGATCCAGCGAGAGCTGATATCTGGCCATGAACCCATAGGAGGAGCTAGGCAAGGAATAAGACGTCTGAGAAGGGATGCCGAGAAAGCAATTGAATCTGGTGCAAAGTCAGTAGTACCACTACTAGGGCCTTTGAGTGGGAATCTCCTTATATAAGCAAGTGTAGCGAAGTCACCTCCATCATTCTCGATCTCGATTTCTATTGCGACAGAGGGAGGTCTCATAATAGAGTCAAAATCACGATTAGAGTCAGTCCGGATAGGATAAAAGAATCCAATCCGCAGCTAGTCTTGGGATCAAGGTTTCTTTCCTTTGCTGAATCAGGAATAGCCGACTCCAGGTAAATGCTTTTACCAGCTCAAAGGCGATGACTAGTAGATCCCTTTTTCCTGGCTATATGATATCAGACAGAATAGACCGGGCCAAAGAGCACTAACCGGGAGCGAAGGGTCCAGAAGTGAGCGGAAGGAAAGGGAGTGAGTGCACCGCAAGACCAGAGAACGCAACTTGTGAAGTGACCTTAACTCGGGAACGGGGGCCACGAGAAGCCTTGTTTTTGTCTTTCTCTCGCGTCCGGCTATTCCTGCTGAGTCCGAAGGATGAGTCCTCACTCCGGTTAGACGGAAAAATCATTGTAGATAGCGATAGAAGACGCGGTACACAAAGTGGTCTTAGCATGAAGGGAGAAAGGGAGGATGTGGGACCATTCCCGATATCCACTCATTCGATATACGACTTCGAAAGCTTACACGTACGAAATAGCCTAGGAAAGAAGAATCGAAAGCATCGAAGCTTGGAATGCTAGCAGACCCAAAAGCTAGCACGGAATAGGGAGCCGCTAAAGCTAGTTAGAGAAGCTCGTGAGTCTTAGGCCCGGATCACCCATTTTGTCCAGCTTTTGAGGGAATGATAAGTAGCTCGCAACCAAAATGAAGGTATGATTCAATCATCTTTGATAATGCCTTTGATAGTGCGATAGTCTCTTTAGCAAGTAGGCCAATCCGGGAATGAACTAGCCAGCCAGTTACTGTAGCCAGGATTCTTTCGAAAGCCTTTATGATACTCTTTCTTGCACTATATAGAATAGTAAAGGAGGGAGTAAGAAAGTGTATGTACTACGGGCAAGTTCCAGTGAAAGCTCTAGTCGTCAGTCTTTAAGGGAATCTTCATTATGGCACCTCGCGCTAGCTAGGGATATTCTTTTTTAGTTCCCTGCGGGGCTGTCCCACGCCCCCGGGTGAGCTACCTAGACATTAAGCGGCGGAAACGAGGCAATAGATAGCCTATAAGAAAATGACGTAAGTAACGCTCGAAATCACTGATGTACGGAAGTAGACTAGAATCTCGGAACCAAGCTCAAGGCGGCATGTTCCGGTACTGCCAATACAATCTTGTCCAGAAATTCTGAATTAGGACTGTAAGTAAGTGATCAGTAAGGAGAAGCTATCCTAAAGAAAGAAAAAGAAAAAAGCGTTCTGTTGCTTGTAGAATACATTCTATGTCGCTCGCCCGGCGTACGCCTTACTTGTTACTTGACGAGTAGAACTTAGTTACCCGCTTATTGGGATCTGAAAGAAGCTGAGTTTCTTTGCTTTCTTTCGCCCGGGAATTGAGCTAACTGTATTCTTACTGCTAGCAATCAGGAAGAAGATTTTTCGATCGAGGAACGTAGTGTTCGACCATAGGGAAGGAGCTATAGACTTGGAGCTAGCCATATAGAATAAGACTCTATGCGTAGCTACAGACAGGATAAAAGGTGGGAAGATGCCTTTAGCTAAGCTATTCAGGGTCTTTTCTGTACCCAGGATCCGATCCCGTTGATCAGTGATCAGGACGATACGATTGGTTGTAAGACTTGGTTGGAACACGAGGTTTAGCCGAATATTAGTTATTTGTTTTTGAACTGGAATGCCTTCGCTGAAAGTCAACCTGACCGCTTTCTGAACCTGCCCCCACCTAAGAAAGAAGAAGATTCGTTGCGATTTGATAAAGGCGCTTCAAACACAGAATGAATTGTAAGTGGGATGATGGAGAGATCCGGGGTATCAATAACACCCACCAGAAGCTTTGTTCGTAGCAGGGGCGTAAGGCGTAAGCAACAAGAAAAAATCGACAAGGGGCGGGAACTTGAACTTCATTTGAAACTGAAGATTCTCTTTAATAAAGAACGTTAGGAACCCGGATAAATGAAGTTTCCAGCTTTTAGCTCTTTTCACGACTCCGCTGCTATTTCAGAAGATCTTATCCTAGCTGGTCTGGTGGGAATCCCTTTTCTTCTTATTAAAGAAGACTAGGCCTTTCGCCTTCGAACACCAACTTCCGAAGTGTTGATTAGCAAATGTTGAAAGCCGCTAGTTGAACCAAATCTTTAATATCGTATTGTAAGCCCTGAACTACTAACTCTTGCTGCAGAGCTAGCATAAACATCTGATTCAATTGCTTCGCGGCCTTCATACGTCTGTCTTCTTTATCAATTGTAAGACCAGTCCCTTTTATCTTTTATTCCCGAGTGGATTCCCTATTTGATGTACTTTCTGAAGGACTTTATTCTAGTACGAACGAGTACGAATGACTTTCTGCCGAACCTCTCTCTACATGTTCACTAGCCCTTACAAGCACTGTTATGTTAGTTGGTGTAAACTCGACTCAAAGAAAGAAGATTCTTTGGAGGTTGGTGACGATACAGACGCAATGCGAACTAGCGCTCAAGCCGGCTTCATTAAACCTTATTTATAGCGCATCAGGGGATCACACGAATGCTCATATGTAAAGAAAGCCGGGGTCATCCTCTATGATGGCTGGTACCAATCCCGTCTGTCACTGCGCCACACACGGGCCATGGAAATGACTAAATACATTATCTTGATATTTTGTTATATTACTATTGTTTCCCACATCACTTAAATTAATTATTCCTTCCTTTTCGAGATATTCATAAAAAGATCGAAAGAACTCATTCAAAAATAATTCTTTTTGTTTTTTACTGGAATTGTATCGCGGTGATAGAGCCCAGTACCTCTATCACTTCTACGCCGCCTGGGCCTTACCCATTGGAATGCTGGTGTGTTAATCCCCTCTCTCTAAGGATGATGAGCTGGGTAGATATCCCTATATACTCCATTGTAGAAGAGTTTAGGCTCATTGTAGAGAGAGACAGGCCGATCGTGGTTATATCATTTGCAGGGGGATGGCGTGCGTGGGAAAGAGAGTACCATGGTATTATATTGATAGAGGGTCTTCTCTTTCCCTAAAGGTGGACCTATAGTAAGGGGGGTATTTTGATAACGAGAGTAGCCAGAGGCAACTAAAGAAGGATATGAGACAAAGCCCGCTAGAGGAAAGAAGAAGGGGCAGGCATAACCCTAAGACTCCTCTTTCTTCTCCAGTGAAGTCACCTTATTTGTATAGGGGAGGTCTTAGGTAGAACAACGAGAAAACAGTCTTAACCCGTAGGTAGGGTAGGACAGTTCAGTCCAGTCCTGATCAGTCCCTATCCTCCGTATATGAGATGAGAGCTGAAGACCGAGTAAAAGGGCTGGCTAGAATTAGCTCGTTAGCTCGAAAGGGTTCGGAAGGAAAGTCTCGAATTGGCTCGAAAGTAGGCTCGAAAGAAGGCTTGGCTTAGGCTCGGAGCGTAGGTTGGAGAAGGGTTACGGGTTAGGGGCCTTAAACAGGATAGGGCTAGCTGACTGAAGGCCTTATACGGGATAGGGGTTCAGTTCAGTCCCTATCGTGCATACGCTGATTTGTCCCCCGCTCGTGCCCCCTACCCTAAAGGTCATTCGCCTTAAGGAAAGATGAAGCAACAAGTAGGAATGAGAACAAGCAAAATTACATAAATAAGAGGAACATCGCATCTCAGACAGTATCTATTTGGAAAGCTCTTGTTTCTCAATCACAGTATCACAGTACGGGTTATCGGCTATGCGTAGTTGTTTCTCATTCTATGTAATTTCCCACCTCGGATGAATCTATGGGAGTTGGGCACTAAGGCATTATGAGCTCAATTCCCGCTCTTCTAAATCAATAGGGCCTGGGAACTTCTTAAAAGGTCATTGGCAGATAATATGAGGGCTTGGGAAGAGATTAACGGGTTACGGGCTATAGGACCGAGCGAGGGACTACGCATAGAGGTCTTTTAGCGCATTTAACCGAAAGTAAGCTCGGACTGCTTAGACTCTTACGTAGTTAAGTGCCAAATGGGCAACGAAATCAGACTAGTAGCTTTTCTTTATAGCACAGCGTCGTATACACACTAAATCATACTACCTTAAGGCCGTAGCTACGTAGCGGAGGCCTTAACTCCGGACGGGGGGATTCTATCAACAAAATACGAAAGAAGAAGCTCTGCACGGCGTGTAACACAATATCATGATAAGTTGCTTTCTTCCCTAAGTTGAATAGGGGCGAAGCCTGGAGAGATAAGGCGGAAAAAGGCATGAATTCTAGCTTCCTCTTGCCGTGCAGGATAGAGAATCAAGTGGGCTTAGTGGGAAAGGGAAAGAATCCAGTCTCTCAGCTCTCTTGAGGAGGATTGACTTTCTGTTCTCTTTAGTGTAACACTCTTCCCTCTGTCCGGATTTCCTAAGTCAATATTGCGTATTAATCCCCGAGGTCCGAGAAAAGATAGGAATTTCAACCTTAGTTGCTTCTTTCTAACTGCCTTCAGAGGCTCACTTCGCTGATCAAGGATTAGATGCCCGGCACACTAAATATAACTCCTAACTATACCTGGCACAGCTGAGGTCGAATAAGAAGAGGAATGGGTTTATAACAACCTTTCCCATCGGGGAGTCAAGACTGACTACAAGGAACTCTGGGAATAGTAAAAGACGGGAAGATACTACAGAGATGTTATCGGATAAAAGATCATAATCTCTTCAACTGCTACTGATGAGTTCGTAGTTCTTTCCGGATGCTGAGTTCATTGCAGCTTCTGAGTTAGCAATGCTCTAATCTCCGGCTGCTCTTTCACTGGTCGTTACACAAACAAATATAGGATGTCAGTTGAGGCGTGGTAAAATACATGGCTTTCCCTCCTTCGGAGCGGATTCTATGTTATTTCCTTGCTTCCGGTCTACAAAGTAGAGTTTGACTACGTATCCCATACCTACCTATACACATACAAACCAATGCCCTACCAATAAAAGGCACCAACTCATTTACTAATCTCTCCAGCTTCTAATTCTACGGAAGAAACGGAGGAAGAGAAAGACTAACTACGCACCCGTCCGCTGTCAGGTCTTTAGCTAGAGGAAGCTCGTTCTTTCCTAACACATGTGAACTCTTTATGCCTACCCCCCGGTTCATTAATGGTAAGAGCGAAATGGCTATATTTTTTGAAGTTAGGCGCTAAAGAGCCTGAGAAGGCATCTTCTTTCTTCAGTTAAAACCCCGTGCGTGAAGATAAGGGCTACGTAATTGAGGACCTTGAAGCGCCTAAAGATCACTTAGCGAGCGAATCAAGGAGAAGATCTGGGAAGAGAATCACAGGAAAGAATATTGAATTCATCCCCGGTTGGGTAAGAGAAGAGACGTGACTACGTAGTACCAAACTTCCCGGGCCTAGCTTTAGACTTATAAGTTCGAGACTCGCAACTAAATATAAAGATGAAGCTCAGGAACTAACCCTC